CCCCAAAACCCCAAAACCCCAAAACCCCAAAACCCCAAAACCCCTTTTAATCAAAATTTTATTGAAAATTGAAATAATATAATGGATAAGAATATGTAAATGATATGGGAGATCAGGCTAATTCTCACAATTTTTGGAATAAGAGCTGACTTGTGTTCTCTCAAAGTCCTCTGGGTTTATAGGAGTTAACTTATTAATCGTTCGACTATCTTCCTTAGCAATGAATGAGAGCTTCCTGCCATTTTATACTTTATTTCAAAATTAGAGAAAATACATAACAAAGAACATAAGTAAACAATTCATTGAGGGTTTATTCCTTTTAAATTTCTTCTTTCTAATCCTTAAAGATCAATTTAGAGGCCAAATTTGGCTCTATCATTGCCAAAATATGTACATTTAAGGCATCTTCGATAATATAGCTAGTATTTTTAGTGATCTTATAATTAAACAAGCTCTGACTTGGTACAGGGACGCGTACAAGCCGCTAAAGATGAAATCTATAACTCAACGTAAGTGGCTTCTTTGACCTTCGTTTAGTCAATGAGGAGCAGAAAGCCTATCTAAGAGGTAGCTTACCACTGAAATGTGCCTGAATTTTATAGACGATGTTTGCCCAATCTGTGTTGATAAGCTCCAAGATGGGCCTTGTAGGAGATTACAGGACGAACTAGACTTCCAACAACCAGAGAGGTACTTTGGGGATCCTTGTTTTTATCAGAATTATTCGTGTATGAATAATATACTAGTCATTCAAAAGAGGAGTCTAAGATGGAAATTCAGAATGAGAATGATGCTAATTTTCTGAACCTTCAGGGTATCCATAAATCCACCCCTCTTGCATGTTGAGATCAGAAAGAAAAGTGAGTTTGACTTCAAGATTCTTGAGATAATCAGTTTTAAATGTGCTGATTATTGCTACCTTTACAACTTAGGGTTTCACTTATCAGAGGTCGTATATGGTATAAAATCGAGTTTCACTCGTTTTTATTGACATAAACTCAGCCCATCTATCACTAGGGCTTCCTGTGGAATGTCCCAAACCTGCGATTTATGAGTAATAATCTGTGTATATAGGAACCCAAATGTAATCACAACGTGTGGGCACAAGTTTCATAAAATATGTATTCTTGGATGGCTCAATTCTAAAAGGTGAGTTTACCTAAAAAATTCCAAGATTTGAAGTTTGTTATTTTCAAACTGAAAACCTCAAGGGAGGTTATAAGATTTCTATATTACAGCTCCAGCTTTGAATGTTCATAATTCTTTTTGGAACTACTCTCCTTGACTTTATGATCCCACCTTTGTGAGCATGGCATTTTTAGTCAAAATTTCTTTCTAAAAAGATTTTAAATTTGAAAGAGAAAAATTATTGGTTTAGATATCTAGCTCGGTTCATGTGAAAAAAGGTTAAAGCCTTGAAAGCTATGCGAAAGTCATCACAAATGAGTTAGTTTAATTGCTTTTCAAGCTCCTTTTAACATACCTCCACAATAGCTTCGAGAATTCTATTTGGGAGTATCTGGATGAAATGTAGTTTAGCTCGAAAATCCTATCCCAATACCATTCTTATCCAAGAGTCATTAATGCATTATCTTTAGAAGATGAAACACATGACCCATCTGAAGAGCAGTAAGGATCTCATTACAATGTATAATGCTTTATCTTTCTAGGTTATATGAAAAGTGGGGCAAGAATTAGAATTATATGATTCCTTCGAAGATTCAGAAATACGATATAGCTCTTCTAATGACTCCTTCTTTGAAGATGAATTTGCCTCAGAAAATTATCCGATTGCTCCAGGATACTCTGAGTTGCCTTGGATTCATGATAGACCACCTCCAAACCGGGATGCTTACCATATTGGGCTCTTACATTCCAACTTTAGAGATACTGTGTCTATAAGCGACTTAGGAATCTCTCTTTCTGAGGACTCTTTTGAAATGGATTCAGGAGATTCAGATTCTTAAAAGAGCGTGGGATAAAGATAAGACCTAATTGTTTAAAAGAACAGCTAAAAACTATAAAGCCTTGGAATTAAATATGCTTTCTCTAAGTTTCATAAAATTGTGATATCTGTTATTACCATTCTTTATCTCTTCTTTCTATTTTCTATTGCTATCATTTACTTACTTTTGAGTGGCATAATATAATTTCAACTGATTCTAAGATGCCTGGGGTTTTGGGGTTTTGGGGTTTTGGGGTTTTGGGG